CATGAGTCAAGTCCTTTTGTTCTAAACTGTTTGTGTCCGCTAATTTCATCCTCACTAAATATTATCTGTCTCCTCTCCTAAGCACTTTCACTACTGAAGAATATCTATCCTTACCCTCACTGGGGATCCTAGTTTCTTGAATCCTTTCCATTCAGACTCTTGATTGCACTCAGCATGCTTCAGTATAAATGAAATTAACAAGGGAACTTGGTATCAAGTTTTTCCCTTGCCTTTTCTTTCAGAGGGTAGTCTTGTTGGGTCAAAAATATTGTGAGCTAATGCTGTGAGCTCATAGTAAATTTCTATTTGGTAGGTAATATGTATTCTTGTCACCTTCATGTGACCAGGCACAGTATTAGGCGCTTAGATATGCCCCAAATGATGGACTTAAAAAATTTTTTTTTTCAATATATATTTTACAGAGAGAAGGGAGAGAGAGATAGACACATTGAGCTGAGAGAGAAACAACAATCTGCTGTCTCCTGCATGCTTCCTACTGGGGATTGAGCCCGCAACCCGGGCATGTGCCCTGACCAGGAATCAAACTGGGACCTCTCAGTCCATGGGGATGATGCTCAATCCACTGAGCCACATCAACCTGGCTCAAATGATGGACTTTTTGATTATTTGATAAAATTGACTTCAAATATTTACTATGGTCAAATTATAAAATATGTTCCTTTAGTTAATTTTTACAAGTTAAATTACTTAATACTATCTACAACAGAGGAAATTAGAAATAGATTTTTATTTTATTTTTTAAACTTAAACCAGCTTTAGCCCTGGCCAGTTTGACTCAGCAGTTGAAGTGTCGGCCTGTGGACCAGAGAGTCTTGGGTTTGGTACCTGCTAGGGGCACGTACTCCCCCCACCCAAAACAGCTTAATTATTTTTATTTTTTAAGTTAAATTTATTGAGGTGACATTGGTTAATAAGAATATATAGGTTTTAAGTGTATATTTCTATGGTACATGATCTGTATGTTGCATTGTGTGCCCACCATCCAAAGTCAACTCATCTTCTGTTACCATATATTTGGCCCCTTTACCTTTTACTACCCCCAGTCCCCCTTCCATCTGGTAACCACCATACTGTTGTCTGGGTCTATGAGTTTCAGTTTTATATCCCACATATGAATGAAATCATGTGGTTCTTAGCTTTTTCTGACTGAATTATTTCATTTAGCATATTATTCTCAAGGTCCATTCATGTTGTCACAAATGGCAGCATTTTGTCTTTTCTTATGGCTGACTAGTATTCCATATTGTTTATGTACCACATCTTCTTTATCCAATCCTCTGTCACAGGACACTTTGGTTGTCTCCATGTCTTGGCCACCATGAATAATGTTGCAGTGAACATAGGGGTGCATATTTCTTTACAAATAAGTGTTTTCAAATTTTGGGGGTAGATTCCCAGGAAAGGGATTGCTGGGTCATATGGTAGCTCTATTTTTAATTTTTTGAGGAACCATCATACTGTTTTCCATAGTGGCTGTACCAGTTTACATTCCCACCAGCAGTAAATGAGGGATCCTTTTTTTCCACAACCTCTCCAACACTTGTTATTACCTGTCCTATTGATAATAGTCATTCTAACAGGTGTGAGGTGTTATCTCATTGTAGTATTGATTTGCTTTTCCCTAATAGTTGGTAAAGTTGAACATCTTTTCATATATCTGTTGGCCATTTGAATGTCTTCTTGGAAGGTGTCTGTTCAGATCCTCTGTCCATTTTTTAATTGAATTGTTTGTTTGGTGTTGAGTTGTATGAGTTCTTTATATATTTTGGATATTAACCTCTTGTCAGAGCTGTTGTTTGCAAATATCTTCTCCCATTTGGTTGGTTGCCTTTTTATTTTGTCGGGTTTTTTTTGTTTTGTTTTTTGCTGTTCAGAAGCTTTTTAGTTTGATATAGTCCCATTCATTTATTTTTTTAATTTTATCTCCCTTGCCTTTGGGGTCAAATCCATAAAATCTTCTTTAACACTGAGGTCCTTAAGTTTAGTGCCTATGTTTTCGTCTATGTAATTTATTATTTCAGATCTTATATTTAGGTCTTTAATCCATTTTGAATTACTTTTTGTACATGGGAACAAACTGTAGTATAGTTTCATTCTTTTGCATGTGGCTTTCCAATTTTCCCAGCACCATTTATTGGCAAGGTTTTGGACAATTTTGTCCATTGTACATTTTTTGCTCCTTTGTCAAAAATTATTTGCTTATATACATGCGGTTTTATATCTGGGGTCTCAGTTCTGTTCCATTGATCTGTGTGTCTGTTTTTCTGCCAATACCATGCTGTTTTGATTATTGTAGCTCTGTAGTATAATTTGAAGTCAGGTATCGTGATACCTCCAGCTTAGTTCTTTTTTTCGGAGGATTGCTTTGACTGTTCAGGGTCTTTTGTGGTTCCATGCAACCCTGATGACTCTTTTGTTCTATTTATTTTTTAAATGTCATTGGAATTTTGATGGGGATTGCATTAAGTTTGTATATTGTTTTGAGTAATATGGCCATTTTAACTATATTGATTCTTTCAATCCAAGAACACAGAATATCTTACCATTTCATTGTGTCTTTTCATTCTTTTTTAATAAAGCATGGTAGTTTTCAGTATATAGATCCTTCACATCCCCACTCTCTTCTAGCTTTTAGAGTTTCTGCTGAGAAGTGCAATGATATCCTAATGGGCTTTCCTTTATAGGTTGCTTTCTTCTTTTCCCTGGCTGCCGTGGTAATTATTTCATAGTCATTAATTTTTGACAGTTTAAATAAAATGTGCCTTGGAGAAGGCTGTTTTGGGTTTGTTTGTTTTTTCTCCTTAATTGATTTTAGAGGGAGAGAGAAATAGAAACACTGATGAGAGATAACATCGATTGGCTGCCTCCTGCATGCCCCTACCAGGGATCAGACCCACAACCTGAGCATTTGCCCTGCCTGGAAATTGGTGAACTCTTGGTGCACAGGTTGATGCTCAACCACTGAGCAACACTGGCCAGGCAAGAAAGAGAAGGCCTTTTTGGATTGAGGCAATTTGGTGTTCTGTTTCCTTCTTGGATTCGAGACTGTAGCTCTTTCCATAGGTTTGGGAAGTTCTCATCAACTATTTGTTTGAATAGAAAAGGCTCTCTGTTATTTGCTCCCTCTCCTCTTCTTCTGGTATGCCTATTATTCTTATATTGCTCTTTCTGATGGAGTCAGATAGTTCATTGAGTCCGTTCGTTCTCTTTCTTTCCTTCTTTCTCTCTCTCTCTCTCTCTCTCGCTTGCAACTCTTCTTCCCTCTGCATTATTTCTAGATTTCTATTTCAATATCACCAATTCTTTCCTCATTTGGTCAGCTCTATTTCCTATGCTCACTAGTTCATTCTTTATTTCTTTTATTGATTTCTTCATCTTCAGAATTTTTATTTTGTTCTTTTTTAAAATTTCAGTCTCTTTGATAAAGTATTTGTTTTGCTTGTTTATTTGATTTCTGATATAATTAAAACGCCTGTGTTTTATTGCCTCTTGTTGATCTTTTCAGAACTGTGATCTTGAATTATTTGTCATTTAAATCACATATTTGACGTGGCCTGTGTGGCTTAGTGGATTGAGCATCGTTCCATAAACTGAGAGGTCCAAGTTTGATTCCTGGTCAGGGCACATGCCCGGGTTGAGGTCTCAATCCCCAGTAGGGAGTGTGCAAGAGGTAGCCAATCGATGTTTCTCCCTCACATTGATGTTTTTCTCTCTCTCTCTCTCTCAAAAAAGCAATAAAAACATATTTTAAAAAAATGAATCACATATTTCCATGTCTTTAAGTTTATTTTCTGGAGATTTTTAATTTTCTTTCTGAGCTGCCTCATTACCTTGGTTATTCATAGTATTTGATGGATTTCTTCTCTGTCTAGGCCTCTATGTATGAGTGGCACTTTTTTAGTAGATTGATGAGAAATCTTTCTATTGTTTTCTGGTAGGTGGCACTGAATCACAATTTTTTAGCTCTCTTTCACTTCTCTGGCTTTTCAGATCTCTGTGGGGTGGTGGAAAATGGCCTGTGTTCCCTGGGAAGGTGGGCCTCTCCCCTGCGATCCAGTGGCCCAGGTCCCAGGGGACTAACCTTACAAGGGAACATGGTGGGTGATGGGGCTACAAATCCATGAAATCCTAGTGCTATCCCCTGTGACCAGACGTTGTCAGTGGTGCAGCCTCATTGTGTGGGGGTGGGGTGAGCTGGAGGAGCCTGGCCTCCTTTGCTGCTTTGCCCTCCCAGCAGTGGCAACCAGTGGACCTCCATGATATTCCCCGCATCTCCACCCAACTCTAGCATTAGTTGCAGAGTGTTCACTTCACTCAGGGAAAAAGTGTTTCTGTAGTAACAGTTTTCAGGTTTGCAGAAAATTATTTCTACAACCCTACATGAAGGGTGAGGAGAGGTGAGCTCTTGGTGGTTAAGGGAAGGCAGCCATTCTCTGTGACCAAATACTGTGGCTGCACTACTGTGCTTCATCCCTGCCCAGGTCACCGGGCTCAGCCATAGCTTGCGCTGCCTGCTCCTGCAAGGATGCTGACTAAATCTCTTTGCTCCTCCCAGTTGAAGGGAGTGCCATACATAAACTGATTTCTTTTCTGCCTGGGCAGAGCCCCACAGTGAGCTTCTGGCTGCAGGGCTGAGTCCATGCTTCCTTTGAGCTTTTCTCCCTTCTTGTCTCCCTGGTTCACTCCCACTTGCCCACCTTTAGATGTTTCAATGCACAGATCTCTCAAATGTGTTTGTGAGTTGAGCAGAAAGTCCTTTGTTGAATTGTAGCTGTTCAAATTGTTGAAACTTCAAGAGGAGAGACCAGGGGGATCTCTCACACTGCCATTCCTCTGACATCACTGACATAAGAAATAAGTTTTTAAATGTCATATAAACTGGTCCCTTAGTCTCATGGCTGTATATTTAATTTTTGGGTTTTATAACATACATATCTGAGACTTATGCCTGCTAATCATACCTTCCTCATTTTTAACAGATTACCAAAATCGAAAATGTCAATCATTTGTGTGATTTGAGAGTTTTAAACCTTGCCAGGAACCTTTTAAGTCACGTTGATAATCTTAATGGGCTGGATTCACTAACTGAACTTAACCTGCGACACAATCAAATCACTTTTGTGGTGAGTACTAAAATGGAATCGATGTATGATTCCTGGCCTTTTCTTTGGGGAAATGAAATTAATGTTACAGCATTGCTTTATGCAGAGTAAACAGCTAAGGTAATTCTGTTTTTTTGTAGTTTTTTTTTGTTGTTAATTTAAATTGTGGACGGAATTATTAAGCTTTATCTCTTTTTGATTTAGGAAGTAGAAAGGTGTTTTCCATTTCAAAAAATAAATATAAAATTAAAAACAGAATAGAAATATCAGTGAGTGAGTTAGCTAGTATAAATGTATACTGAATCTTTACCTGTTTGTCATGGGTATAAAATTAATAAGAAAGAAGATTATTAGTGATTGAATGTTGTTAAATTGTTGCACCAAGAAATAAAAACTGAGGAGGTTTAGGGCTGTGAAAACATGTATAAATATCATATTCTTTGCAGCTTTTAAAGAGGCAGCTTTGTATAGTGGAACGAGCATTGTATAGGGCATTAGAGGCCTAGTTCAGTCTTAGCCTTATCTCTCATTACCTGTGTGACCTTGGTTAAATCACTTTAACTGTGTAAGCCTCAGTGTACTTTTCTCTAAAATAAGGGCATTGGGCTAGATTTTTTCTGGGGTCCTTTTTGGTTTTTTGAGTCTGAAAAAAGACATGAAGATGGATGAGAACAGGCATGTGAGCAGGAGGAAAAGGATGAGCATTGTGGGGACAAACGTAGAGAAAGACGAGTCTGGAACTCTAAAGATAAACTTTGTCAGGTTTATAGTTTTACTCACGTTCAGCAACTAAATGAGTTAACACCCAGGTCTTTTGTATTGGGCATGTGTGAAGAACACTAGGTATATGGCTATCAGCAGTATGATATGGCCTAGCAGACTTCTAATGATTAATAAAAACATTACTTGTGCTTTTAACATGCAATAGAAAAACTATGTTAGGTTCTCTCTGGATATCATTTAAGCACTTTTAAAGACACAGTCTAACTCAACTTTTTCAAGACATTGAGTTTCTTTGTAAATAATTAAGTGTACCATAAGTGGTACATTTGAAAAGGCTGGGGGACAGATGATGGCTTAGCTCTAGGCCTCACTGTACACACTGGTTTCATTTTAAAGTTTTCCCAGAAGATCTGAGCCACGTAATGCTCTTATCTTTTGCGGATAATTTCAGAGCCTCCTCTAAGACACAGCTTTATTCTAGTCTCTCAAATCCGTCAGGTTTTCCCCGGATTGGATTTAAATGTTGGAAATGGTTTATTTTATAAGACATGCAGATTGAGTTTATCTGTTACATTGTGGAGTTTCTAGGATCTGCTCAGGCTGAACTTCATCTGTCCTCAGGACATTGGTTATGGTAAGAATCCAAAGAGCTTTGGTAGAGTAGGTACAGAAATCTATTGGTCCTGGAATATTGTGGTCTATATTTTATCTTTCTCTTGGAAAGTGCATTATGGATGTTCAGGAAATTGCTTACTAAGTTTCTTATTTAGTATTATGCCTAATCTTTACTGTTACAGTAAACATTTTAGGGAAAAGGAAATTATATTAATTTGTAGAAGTTTGAACCATTATGCATACAGTATCATTGTCAGGATAATAAGTATTATGCATATTGATTTGTAGGAAATTGTGAGTATACATATAAGGATAAATAAGAAACTTTATCCAACCCTTATTATTTTCTCTTTGAAAGCATTATTTTTCTAAAAGAACCAATAGACTTTTAAATCTGAGGATTCCTTTTTAGTTTTCATTATCTCTCCTTTTTCCAGGGTCAGTCATCACACTTAATATTTTTGCCTTTGATTTTTTTCAGTGGCTGGTAATCCTTCAATGAAGATCATGTTAAGAACTGGCTAGGTCTTTTGTGCAGCTGAGTAGGTCTTTATAACCACAAGGTCTCTCCCTAGAATGATTGCTAGATTTGCGTAAGTTGAATTTCACACACTGGCAGACTTCCCTTTTGAGTAAGTAGAAGGGGAAAGGCAGGCTTACTCTGTAATTGCCAAAATAAGGAAGGCTATTGTTGGGGGTAGAAGGACTTTAGTATCTTTTGTGCCAGGTGAAACTGCCATTCCTTTTCTACCTCTGGTCCTACTGTAGTAGTTATTAACCTTCTCCATGGATAAAATATCCACACTCATCCTTCCTTGACAAATACTCTCATTAGAGAACAGATCCTGAGTCTCCAACGGAGGGTTTCCTCAGCCAGCTGCTCTGTACATGGTTGTGTGAGTGCATGGCTGGGATAGGGGTGCACGGGTGTGTGTGGGTTTGTTGGTATTCCAGGAATAGCTGTTGAGTAGACAGACCTTTAATTACACATCCACTTGATGAGCCACAGTTGACCACAGCCCACACCTGCACTTTGTGTGTACTGATTGGAGTATGGAACAGGATGGCATTCTGTCAAAAAGGACTGCTGCCTTTCCAGTCCAGCACCTCTTGCAAGTTCTGAGCTGCAGTTTTCTTTGTTCAGGATCATTTGTGATGTTATCCTATCTGCTTTTAGGCTCCCTGAGATTCTTTTTTTTAATCCTCACTTGAGGACATTTTTGCATTTATCTTTAGATAGAGGGGGAGGGAGAGAGGGAGGAAGAGGGAGAGAAACATCAACGTGAGAGAGACACATCAACTGGTTGCCACCCACACGACCCCTACAGGGGCTGGGGACAAACTGCAACCGAGGTACGTGCCCTTAGCAGGAACCGAACCCGGGCTCTCTGGTCCACAGGCTGACGCTCTAACCGCTGAGCCAAACCGGCCAGGGCTCCCTGAGATTCTCAAATGTTGATCTGTTAATGATAACTCTCTTGGTTTACTCATTTTGTATGTTATTTTTTGCTTCACTCATTGAATCTTGGGAAGGGCATGAAACAAATGCACTGCCTATTTCACCATCTAATCAGAGATGTAGAAAAGTTATTGTTTGTTAAATTCACTAATCTTTTTCTTGGAAATTTTGTAAATTTTAAACCCTATGTCTTTTTAGTTTACATGTATCTTTCTCTTTTTAAAAATTATGAATCATTACAGTCATTCCTAACATTTGAGTATCCACCAATCAACTGAATAAATAAAACATGTTTGAAATATAGTTGAGGTCTTCTGTGTAACACTCCCCCATCATATTTTGTCCCCCCTTTTCAGAGGTAACCACAATTCTGAACTTGGTGTTTATTCCCATGCGTGTCTGTTCCCCCCCCCCATATATGTTTATATCCCTAAACAATACAAAATAATTGTTTTGCATACTTTTAAATGTTCTGTAAATGGTATCATCATAGTGTACATATCTTCTTTAAGTTGCTTTTATTAACACTATGCTTTGAGGTTTATCTATGTTGATACCTGTAGCTCTGATTCACTAATTTTCACTGGTATACAGTACTACATTATATGATTGTAACTAAATATGTATTCTTCTATTTATGGGAAGTAATATTATTTCCATTTTTTTGTTATTCAGAGCAGCACAGATCATTTTTCTTTACATGTTTTTTTATGTGTATGTATAACAATTTTTCTAGGTTAGTGGCTTTCAGACATTTTTAGCCATAATCTATGGTAATAAATAAAATTTACATTGCAACCAAATTATTAAATACATATTTATATGGATACATTATAAATAATGGGAACAAGCATTTCATGAAACTAGACCCTATCCATTCCGGTATATCCTCTTTGATTCTATTATATCTCATTTAAAAATGTTTGGCTCAGCGGTTAGAGCGTCGGCCTGCAGTCCTGAGAGACCCGGGTTTGGTTCCCGCTAAGGGCATGTGCCTCGGTTGCAGTTTGTCCCCGGCCCTGGTCAGTCGTGCGGGTGGCAGCCACTCGATGTGTTCCTTTCACGTCGATGTTTCTCTCTCTCTGTTCCTCTGTCTCCCTCCCACTCTACCTGAACAAAAAAAGGAAGAATGTCCTCGGGTGAGGATAAAAAAAAAAAAATGTTGGTCTCAAAAAAAAAAAAAAAATGTTGGTCTCAACCTACTGTGTTGATTTCTTGACCAATGAGAAATTGGTTGCAACCTGCATTTGAAAAACAATGCTCAATGGTGGATACTTAAGGGAAGCTTGCTAGGTGCCAGGATTATGTACATTATTTCACTGTATCAGATGTCTTCAAGTTTTTCCCCGGTGGTGGCACAAATTACATTTCCATCAGCATTATCTGAGAATTTCTTTAATTTCACATCTTTGGTGAACACTTGATGTTGTCAGACCTTTTAATTTTTGCTAATCTTTAAACTATGAAATTGTAATGCATTGAGATTTTATTCTGAATTTCCAGTGAGGTTGAATGCCTTTCATCTTTTTCCCTTGGTATTGAGGTTGCACCTTTTCTGAATCACCAGATCCTTGGCTCATTGTAACAACAGTATTATTATTTTTTTCCTTTTCCAGTTGATAAAGAAACAAATCTCTTTTGTTTCTGGTATCTTTTGAGGAACAGAAGTAAAAATCATCAATAGTTTTCTTTATTGTTTCTGGTTTTTGTTGTTGTTTGAAAAATCATCCCTTGTCCCAGCTGGTGTGGCTCAGTGGTTGAGCATCATCCCATGCACCAAGAGGTCACTGGTTCGATTCCCAGTCAGGACACATGCCCAGGTTGTGGGCCCGATCCCCAGTGGGGGACATGCAGGAGGTGGCCAATCGATGTTCTCTTTCATCGATGTTTCTATCTCTCTTTCTCCTTCTCCTTTCCTCTCTCTCTAAAATCAATAAAGAAAAAAATTATTTTTAAAAGAAAGAAAAATCACCCCTTATAGGCTACGGACATAACAAAGATTTTTTTCTTTATTGTCTAACAAAAATTTTAAAGTTGTTCTTCACATGTAAGAGTTTCACCTATTTGGAATTGATTTTTGCCTGTAATGTAAAGTTGAAATCCAATTTAATTTTTCTCTCATTTATTGAAAAGTGAATTCTTTGTCTTTCCCTTTCCCCTTGATAGTATTTCCCTCTAACAAGTTAAATATCCACATATACGTGGGTCTGTGCCTGACCTCTCT